GAAAATTTTCAACTTTACAGCCTTACCTAAAATTCGAGTAGCTCGTTCGACGTTTTTCACCACAAAAGTAGAACACATGTATTTATATGAATGTTACCGAAATACGTCGAGCGTACAAAATTTCAAGGTGAAAATTTTCAACTTTGACAGAACGTATTTTTTGTATTTTTTTATCTTGTTGAAAATAAAAAGAAAACATTCAGAAAATATGAAATTTCGAATGTGACAATACAATATTTGGATTAATTTAATAAAATTTCAACTTTGTTTTGCGGTTTGTGTTATTCGCTTGAAGATATGGATTCGACGTATTTGGGTAATACGGCCGTACACAACATTTTACAAAAGTGGGGAAGTTAAATTTTTCTGTACGCCCCGTCGAATTATAGGTAACGTTGTTATATTTTTATAAGCTATGCGTACTTGGGTAACATTCATTGAAATACATATATTTAACTTTTGAGGTGAAAAAAATCGTACACAACATTTTACAAAAGTGGGGAAGTTAAATTTTTCTGTACGCCCCGTCGAATTATAGGTAACGTTGTTATATTTTTATACGCTATGTGTACTTGGGTAACATTCATTGAAATACATGTATTTAACTTTTGAGGTGAATAATGAATTTAGGTACGACCCTGACAATTTATTTTCTATGACAATAATGTTGTTTTTGTAATACGTTTAGGGATCAACTTAGAGAAAGTCCATTGAAAATATCATTTGAAGTCGAATTTTATAAAAAAAAGTAAATACCATTTAATACCATTAATAAACCATGGATACAACCATGGTACAATAATACAAGGTAGGGCACCTTGATTTGAATAATAAAAACAACTATGTAGGTGGTGGCTTCTTCTGCCAAATATAAAATAAATAGCATATACCCGCTACTTCGTTGGCAAATGTGGGAATTATTTCAAACCAAATACCAAACATTATTAACACCATTTAGTACCTATGTTCTCTTATAGTACATTTTTCCAAAACTATCTCCATATCTCAACCCTACACTCCAATTCTGATCGCAAAAGAAATTTAGCTCTATACAAAATTTGTTGTAATTTTTTACTTCACCCAAATCCAAATTAAGTACCAATTAGTAAACATTAATATAAATTGCCAAAACTTCCAATGGAAATCTTATTACTCAATTTCAGGATTCCAGCTCTATCGGTTAGCTTTTAATCCAAACTGTACCAAATTTAGTGCCATTTAGTACACATTAGTAGACATTTCCAAAACCTCCAACATAGCCCAATTCTACACCCCAACAGTAATCCTAACTTCAAATTTCAAGATTCTAGCTCTATCGGATCACTCACCTACCTTAACTTATTTCCAAATTTTAAGGTTTCCAGCTCAATTGGTTCACTTAAAATTTAAATTGTACCAAATTTAGTACACATTAGTTGTAATTTCCAAAACTTTCCAGAAAGCCCAATCCTACACCCCAAAAGTGATCAAACCCGCATTTGGTACCATTTAGTACAAATTTCCAAAACTTCATCGCATCGGTTCACCCAAAATTTAAATTGTACAAAATGTAGTTCACATTAGTAGCAATTTCCAAATTTTCCTAAATAGCTCAATTATACCCCAACAATGATGATAACTCCAAATGTAAAGCTTCCAGCTCTATCGGTTCACCCAAATCCAAATTTGGTACGAATTTTCAAAATTCTCTAATACAATAATCCTACACCCCATTGGGCTTTCTGGAAAGTTTTGGAAATTACAACTAATGTGTACTAAATTTGGTACAATTTAAATTTTAAGTGAACCAATTGAGCTGGAAACCTTAAAATTTGGAAATTAGTTAAGGTAGGTGAGTGATCCGATAGAGCTAGAATCTTGAAATTTGAAGTTAGGATTACTGTTGGGGTGTAGAATTGGGCTATGTTGGAGGTTTTGGAAATGTCTACTAATGTGTACTAAATGGCACTAAATTTGGTACAGTTTGGATTAAAAGCTAACCGATAGAGCTGGAATCCTGAAATTGAGAAATAAGATTTCCATTGGAAGTTTTGGCAATTTATATTAATGTTTACTAATTGGTACTTAATTTGGATTTGGGTGAAGTAAAAAATTACAACAAATTTTGTATAGAGCTAAATTTCTTTTGCGATCAGAATTGGAGTGTAGGGTTGAGATATGGAGATAGTTTTGGAAAAATGTACTATAAGAGAACATAGGTACTAAATGGAGTTAATAATGTTTGGTATTTGGTTTGAAATAATTCCCACATTTGCCAACGAAGTAGCGGGTATATGCTATTTATTTTATATTTGGCAGAAGAAGCCACCACCTACATAGTTGTTTTTATTATTCAAATCAAGGTGCCCTACCTTGTATTATTGTACCATGGTTGTATCCATGGTTTATTAATGGTATTAAATGGTATTTTCTTTTTTTTATAAAATTCGACTTCAAATGATATTTTCAATGGACTTTCTCTAAGTTGATCCCTAAACGAATTACAAAAACAACATTATTAAATTGTCATTCATTATTCACCTCAAAAGTTAAATATATGTAAATTAAAAATATAACAACGTTACCTATAAGTTGTAAGGGTCGTATTGTCATAGAAAATAAATTGTAAGGGTCGTACCTAAATTCATTATTCACCTCAAAAGTTAAATATATGTATTTCAATGAATGTTACCCAAGTACACATAGCGTATAAAAATATAACAACGTTACCTATAATTCGTCGGGGCGTACAGAAAAATTTAACTTCCCCACTTTTGTAAAATGTTGTGTACGGCCGTATTACCCAAATACGTCGAATCCATATCTTCAAGCGAATAACACAAACCGCAAAACAAAGTTGAAATTTTATTAAATTAATCCAAATATTGTATTGTCACATTCGAAATTTCATATTTTCTGAATGTTTTCTTTTTATTTTCAACAAGATAAAAAAATACAAAAAATACGTTCTGTCAAAGTTGAAAATTTTCACCTTGAATTTTTGTACGCTCGACGTATTTCGGTAACATTCATATAAATACATGTGTTCTACTTTTGTGGTGAAAAACGTCGAACGAGCTAGTCGAATTTTAGGTAAGGCTGTAAAGTTGAAAATTTTCATCATTATTTTTAATTTGTTGTTTTTTGAAAATAAAATTCCAGTCATTTTTTTTTTTTTTTTCATTGAAAATATTTTCGGTTAATTAAAAAATGTTTCATCCATGTTCGCCGTTTTCAACTGACACACAAGTAAATAAGGTCCTACCGAATGTGGGTAATACGGACGTTCAACAAATCCTATGAAGGTGAAAAGGTGGGTATTGTAAAACGCACATATTCTGATAATTTATTTCACAAAATAGTAAAAAACAGACTGATTGTCACTTACACCTTATATAAATACACCTTGATTATAACATGCTGGACTACATAAAAAATAAATTGCGTAGAAAGAAAAAATAACTGAATTTCCAACTCATAATGCGAGGTTTTGTAGAAAATTATTTTATTTTGGAATAATAATTGAAGAGTTTCTCACTCACTAGTCAATCTCATCCATTCACAAATGGGTTCGTCGTCACGACAGCATATGATTTTCCAACTCATAATGCGAGGTTTTGGAGAAAATTATTTTATTTTGGAATAATAATTGAAGAGTTTCTCACTCACTAGTCAATCTCATCCATTCACAAATGGGTTCGTCGTCACGACAGCATATGATATATAGTGTGTGGGCCCTTTAGAAAAGATAGCGGTAGCCTAAACTCAATATAAATCAAAAAACCTAAATATTTGTTTATTATTTATTTTATTAATAATTCAAAATGGTAACAAAATTCAATATGGTGTTTGTGGTTGCTATAATTCATGTATTGAATGTAAAAGTAAACGGTAGAAGTTATACAACCGAATATGGGGGGTGTTTGCTTACATAGTCAAATGTGGAGTTTAAATATTTTAGTTCATTATGATTTGTTTAACAATGGAATTAAGACTAAGTTATTGGGACTTAAATATGTTATGTACTTGAACTTTTACATATAATTGTTATGTAAATACTGCAATAGAAAAATAATCGATTGCATATGTTAGAGATACACATGTGTATATATAAATAATTATAAAATTACTAAAATATTTCTGTTAAATCTAAAAATAGGGAATACTTATGTACAAAAGGAAAATGTGGGTTGGATATAGAACAGTTCTTTGAGGTTACAAAGCGCTGTGCTTCATTCAAATTGTGTGGTTTGTTGGATGTCTTCAGCTGTAAAACAGTATAGCTATAATCTTACATTGGATCAAATGTATTTGGTATGATGGAATTATGATCTGTTTGGATTGCTCAAGACACTTCTATACCTCTTCTTCGACAGAAACAAAACATACAAATACTCGGTATGTGTTAACACAACGTATAGCCCATTTACGGATAATGTAAGGGTGCGAGCATAAGAGCTAATCACTGGAGAACCGTCAGTGTTGTTAGGGTTTGTGCATTTGTGTTGCCACATTGATTTGTTATTCAACCTACTATTTATTTCATAAATACTGAATTCAATTATTTTATTATTTACTATTCATCTTCTACCGTTCATTACTACGCAACAAACCCGTCTCTATGTGCTACTTTCTATATTATATGTATAATCTACAAAACGGACATCTAATTTAGATTAGTATTTCGATCATTTATATAAGCTCCCAATCATTCACTACCGTACCTCGGGTTGAGCTCGCTTCTTTGAGATTTTGTTCATATTTGGAATAAATGTACATTAAGCAGGTTTTCGTATCCAATCCTCTTTTTATATCTTAAGTATACTTAATATTACTTTTTGGTGTAAATATTTGTGTTGATGTTGTATGCATTGTGATTAAAAGAAACGGGCGAAACAAACGAATTGTTAAATACTAAGATGTAGTCACTGCCGCATTCTATGAAGGTAAAAATCTCCTCATGATAGGCTCCGGGTCAGAATGGCAGCGACGTATTTATTGTGTGGAAGAGTGAACGGCTGAACTAATTCACTATTCGATTGGTGTATATTGTCGATTCTTCTTCGAGAAAGAATCACAGATTTGCGTTAGGCGTCGTTGTGCTGCTTAGCATTTCCTTGTGTTTATTTAACGGGGTTAGCAAGTGTTTTACACGGCACAATTGGTTATTGATTTTCTAATTGTCATTTGCTTGGCAAACTTCGATTTAGCGTAATTCATAATTGTTGTTGTAGAATAGTTCGTTGTGTGGGTTGTTTCTATTAGATGGGGGAAATTGAAAGGGGAGACGCTGCCACTTCTGGCATGTATTCCTTGAGTAGATCTCTTAAACGTAATATCTCTTTACCCGCGGCGGCAAGATCCCCCTGAAGTGAAAGTTCTCGTTCTCGAAGACGCTTAATATCGCGTTGGCAGGTCTGAAAAACGTATTGTGAAATGTGAGATATTTTATTATAATTACTGACAAAAATAAATTACAGGTACTACACTTACCACATTTTGACGCAACAAATCTAATTTGTCACACTTAAGGCGAGTAACTTCTTGTCTGAGATTGTCAATCAGAACTATCGTTTCATTGCTAGGCGATGAACCCATAATAGTTTGGGAGCCATCTAGGCATAGGGAACATGCCTTTGTGTTTGCTTCGGCAGAGGACATGGACTCGAGACCGGTATCGCTGTCAATGTAGACTGCACCCCCATCCAGGTGGGCCATCATAGGGTCAAGATCCACACTGTTGAGGCTGGAATCATCACTGGTCTCCGACATTGTGGCCGTTCCGCCAGAGACCGCATTGCCCCCAGCACCATTATTGGGGACGATCGACGAGGAGTTGTTTCCATTCTGCGCTTCTTTGTCTCCATTCCCACCGTTATTGTTATTTCCACTGCCATTGTTGCTATGGCTAAGCGGAGCTCTGGACGTAATGTCTGGAGATGAGGATGTGGACTCATTTGACGACTTTGATTTCGAAGAAAATTTCGAAGTTGTGCGACTACATGTCTGGAATATAGAAGGATATATTTAAATGATTTTGTCTTCCAAAAAATGTTTGATCTGGGCTTACGTTTAAATTAGGCGTTTCCACCAAACTCGTGTCTTTCTTCGAGTGAGTGCTGGTTGCAGATGAATTCATTTTTGTGGATACACAGAATTTTTCGACGTTGGCGATGTTGCTGGTGTCGACGCTTTGTGAACGTACGCGAGATATCAAAGCTTTTTTGACCGTATCAAATAAACGAGATCCCGTCGTAGTATTATCGGACTTTGGTGTTTCCGGCGTAGGGCTTGCAGCAACGGTGCCACTGAGATCTGCGCCCAAAAATTCTCTAGTCTTTTCCTTCAGCTCATCAACAAGATTTTGTAAAAGAGACGTTCGAGTCCGCAGCTCAAGTTTGGCAAACTTTTCCGCCTTATAGCAAGCGTTTTCGGCGTTTATCAATTTGGTTAAGATGAACTCTTTGAATTCCTGGCCTTTACGGAACACAGCAGGGTTGGGTAAAGTTGGGCCGAAGAAGGGTACATCGTCGCGCGCCGTTACACTCACTTTGTATCGCGTATTTGGTGTGTTTGGCTCCAGGGGTTGAATTACGATGAAAGCATGCAAAAAATGACTGGCTATCATGTCTGGTGAGAAGGGTGTATTCGATTCTTGAAACACAATAGCTACAATGTCGTTACCAATGTGGCGTTTGCGTTGCAATTGTTGTGGGTCACCCTCGGTATGCGGCAGCATTGTGGACACATGAAATATTACTTCACGCTCCTTGAATACTTCGTAAATGGCAGTGTCGCCGGTGTGGCCATTCTGTATATCCAGACCTCCGCGATACCCCTTGTGGTCCTTAAGACGAATACGTTGGCCCAGCACGTCAAGAAACTCCTCAAATGCCGGCGATGATTTGTTATTGCAAAAGAGTTCTTCCTCAGTAGTTTGGCCATATCTTTGGTATAGAACGCCGAACTTGAAGTTAGAGACTAAAACATGTTCATCGTAAACTCCAATCAGTTGAGAGGCCTTTGGGCACAGAACAGGCATGAAGCTATCGACGTTTATTTGGTCATTCAATAGGCGAACCATTTTATTTGGGCTAGGACTGGGGCCCATGCATGAAACTGGGATCAATTCGTGCATGGTGCCCGTCTTAAGTCGCAAAAGGATGCGAATGTGCTCCTGATTGGCCACGTTTTCACTTTTGATCGAAATGAGCACTGGACCTAGCAGATCGTCGTGACCTACCAAGTTCGAGTGTTCCCGACCAGCATAAAATCGCCTATAACACTTCGCTGTATCGTCTGTTTCGAATTTGGCCATCCAGGTAGTTTGTGGCAACATCGGCTGACCGCGAGAGTCATATGTGCACTCATGCTCCGTGCCATCCACCCAATAGCCACTAGCTGGCAACACAATCATGGGGTACGGGGCACCCTTAGAAATAACCTCTTCAAGCAGTCTTTGAGATGCTGGTATTGTTGAAATTATCGATGATTGTGACGAAGATTGCGATTGGTAGTGATGACCATTCGAAAGCATTTGTCCTCCCGATGCTGTTATAATCCCACTCAATTGTGGTGACGCCGGCGTGCTACTTGAAGTGGCCGAGATGGAATGTCGCATTGTTGTGCGCGAACTAGAATGCTGCAGGCTGTGGTGTGTGCCATGCGACGAATGCATTGCCATGTTGCTGGTACTGACTTCATGAGACGAATGTGGATTAGGTACACGTTCATCATTAGATGTGCGGTGTTGTGTCTGCAAAAAATTAAATTTATTAGATTAGGATCTACTATTGTTATGTATTAGAGATTGGTTTTGAATCTTTCAATTCTAATTCCAGAGATTTTCTGTAAAATTTATGTCTATAACGTCAATAGTTTAAGTCAGCCCCCATTGTTCAATAAACATAAGTGTATATATTGGATAATTGCTAGTAATTATTATCTGCTTCGCTTTAAAACTTTGGAATTACTTTGCACAAATTACATTCTTGCAATTAATTTTTTAAGTAGATAGAGGGGTCCGACCGACTTATTCGCACTCAATCGACAACATATACAAATGCATTTGTTGATGTAGAAAATGTTATTGACATCACATAATGTCGTGGATCCCATCATCCTTAGCAAACACTAAATATACAACACAGTAAAAATAGAAGAGTATTGGGAACTGAACATTCATGGAATACGGAAGAAGTCAAACAAATGAAATATAAAAGATACGTCAAATGAAATGAGTAAAATCCGACATAGTTGGCACTACCTCAACAACAAAGACCGTGAAAAAAATTGAATTTCGCTTTGAAACCTTATTGAGAGTAGGTATGTACTGTAAACTGTTTTTAGTTTATTGAATTAGTATTTTCCAACATGAAACTATAATCGATAAGTCGGGGTTTACACAAGCAACAATTGTAAGCAATTCTGCGGAGTTTTTATTTTTGGAGACGGAGGTGCGAAGTATGGAAAGGGCTAAGAAATTCAAAAGAGAGTCGTAAAGATCAAAAGCAGAGTTGCGTATAAAAGTTGCATGTGTAAACTCGAAAAGACAAAAATATTATATCGAAACACACAGACATGCCTACAAGAAGCAGAAAACCATTGCTCAATCTGATACTTCCGATAGAAACTAGCTTATAAATAACCCCATGATGCGAACACCAATGTAATACATACAAATAATTTATGACCTATTTCACCAAGCCTTTAACAATTTAAGGGGTTACAAAAATGCAAATGGAACTTTAAATTATATTCCCATGTTACTTTTTGGAAATAACTCATTAATTCCCAACCCTTGTCGTTATCTTGCTCCACTGGTTTTGCCCATTGTCTTGCAGTTGGCATTTGGAATTGAAACTTGAGCTTAATTCACTACCCATTTCTATATTAAGTCTAAATCTAACCAAGCGTCGTGAGAATTTTTCATTACTAGCATGTAATGATCAACAGTAACTCCATTGGCAAGAAGAACTACTAGGTACGTTTGTAGGTGGGAATAGTTTTATTCACTGGGAGATGAATACAGTTTCAGGGAAAACGAGTATTCAACAAAGAGTGACATGTAAAATAATAGCGCTGGATTCCATCAAGCAAGACGACAACGCCAAACGTTCAACCCATACCTATTCAGATCAGTAAGCTAAGATCAACGAAGCGGAAAGAAACACCAAACCACATCAATGTACATGTGTGTAGAAACGTTTGTTTTTTTTTCTTCATACTTTAATCAACCTTTCCATCGCTGCAAAGTTATGATTACGTGAATTTCATTCATTTTCGGCCGACATTGTGTAGGTTTTTTTTCATTTTTTCTTCGTGGAAAACATTTTCTACACATTACGTGCGAAGCACTGCTCTCCACCTAATTTTTGCCAAACAAACGTATTTAAGCTGTTAACTATGCATGTGTACGAATGTATGTGTATATAAAAGATAACTTAGTGCAGTTTGACTAGGGTTCAATGTCACCGTATTTAAGCTCATTGCCATATACGAGAATCTAACACAGAAGCTCCAAAGTTAGTATATTCGATGGTAGGCCTATGACCTATGAATTTTACCCGATTCCGTTTGGATAGTTCCTGGGATTTTTTGTGGAACAAAATTCATTCCACTGTCAGTCTCTGTGTGAATTCACTTCAAAGCCGAACCTAGCCAATATGCTATACATAAAACACACTACAGTCGACGCCCCGTATAACGAATACTAAGTTTAACGAATTCGGGATATAACGAATAAGCAAATTAGTCGACTTTTTGCACTGACTATCGCATATAACGAAAGTTTTCCAAATGTATATACTGGGTATAACGAATGGCGCAAAAATAATGGGCCAGCCTTATAAAAAACATATATAAACCCGCTTTTGTTACTGTTATTACGTTCATTAATGAATTTTTTATTAGAAATCCAATGAAAAGTGGATTAAAATTTTTGTTTTTAAATAAAATGGCACCATAAAAAACTTCGCAATATAACGAATTTTTCTCTATAACGAATGGGTCTGACAATATATCATTCGTTATACCGGGCATCGACTGTACAATGTTTTGTTTAGTCAGTCATCATAAACAGTCCAGCCTGGGTTTCGGAACAGTTTGCATAGTAATAAATTGAATGCGACAATGGTGGCAAACAAATAGTTGTATTCGTTCCACGACGCACTCACGCATTACTCCGGTCGCATTAAAACGAGGTCATCCCCAACATCTATCACATGTGTGTACATAGCACATTCTCGCACACATACACATACTAGTGCATACCCCATCAATATGCCACACGGCAGCCCGCTGTAATATACACCACATATGCATGCTTCTTCCAAATGCTATACATGACTTGGTTGATATTGGGATCCAGCCAAGTTGTCAGAAACAAGTCATGCTGACGTCATAGTTTGGAAATAAGTAATTTGCAGAAGGGGAATCGTGAACCGCCATTGTTGTCTATGATGTTGGATCTAACTTCTCTGTAACGACGTGTGTATAAAGCACAGGGGAAACTCCGTCACAACTGCCACATTTTAGAAAACGTAGACTTTACCTGCAGACATATATTGCATTCATTACTTTACATGGGACAAAGTTTTTATCATATACTGTTTGAAACAAAAAGCTATCTATACGAGAACTGTTAACACATCACATCCAGTGCGAACGAATTTTTATTCAAATATAAAATTATGTGAAAATACATAGTTGCTTTCAAAACTAATTGATGTGAATGGTAAAGTTTTTGAAAATTCTGTATTAGAATCTTTGCCTATTTTGTCGCATACGCCAAGTTGACTATTAACAGGGAACAAGACATTTTTCACTTTTAAGGGGACCCCCCCCATTCTCGGGGTCAAAAATTTTGTTGATATAATTCGAATCTACACTAATTAATGAATGTCCCTACAAAATTTCAAGTGAAAATCTCAAGAACTCTTGAAGATATTGTGACGGCTGAAGGGCTTCTCAAATTTAAAACGCGTTTTTCTCTAAACATTTTTTTGTGAATGGCGGGCACGATAACTCAAAAACTAATAACCCAATCGATTTCAAATTTTTACACCTTTCTCTGTGAGTGTATAGCTATCGTATGAACTAGGATAAAGCCAATCGGTGAAGATCTTTCTTATTTTTTAACTTGGTTTTTGGTCAAAAATCGGCGATTTTCCAAAAATATTTTTTCAAAGGTCCACCATTTTGTTAATTTTAGAGCGAAGTCAATAATTCTAGTTCATACGAGAGCCAGACATGTACTCTTTCTAACACCGTTAGAATTTTCGGATTCCGATGTTCCAGTGAGGAGTTATCATGCCCGCCATCAAAAATAAGGAATTTTCTTTCATTACAAAAAACAACAACAAAACAATAACAAAAATTTTTTGTAAATTATTTTTCTTCTCTTTTAAATCTTCAATTATATATGTGCAAAGCATTGGTATTGAGTTTTTTTTTACATTTTCCATTTAAAACGAGGGAGATTGAATTAAAAAATGTATGATTTTACTGTTAACATCTCCATAGAGCTGCGACGTAAAACAGTTATTCCAAACCACTTTCTTTTTCAATAACAAAATAGGTTTTACTTTCTATTTTTGTTGATGGCAAACACTCGCCAAACGACTAATGCGCAAGATTAACTTTTCTGTATTTTTTCTCTTCGATCAGCAGTCAAATTCGATGTCTGTCGAACAATAAATGGTTGCTTGTATAGATTATCGCCTCAACAGGAGAATATACCAAAATAAAATCACATTTGTTGTTAGACAACAAGGTACATAACTGACATTGCCTTGACAAGTATTTAATTCAGTTCGATACTTTTATTATTTCTTCTTTTTGTTTTCTTTAGTGACGATTTTGCATATCCGAATTGGTAAGTGTGGCAGATCGCGTTCATTTAATGATTGCCATGAAGGTTATTCATTAAACTAGTCGATGCCGAAAAAGACGCACATTCGAGTATTGTTTGTGTTCACAATGAGTTGAATTTAACAATTAGACGGGTCAATAAGCCAAATATGATACAATTTTCAGAGCAATTTGAAGAAAAATTGCAGATTTTATTATGATATTATTTAATGATTCAAAAATATGAATCTCAGACTTTATTTGAACAGTTTTTACGAAGATTTAAAAAATAATTAATTGTAGTTTGGAACTTCCAGGCTTTGGCGTATACGTTCTTCTTGGCAAGCAAACTAGTTTGAAAAAGTCTTCAAAAACGGTTTTTATTTTTATTTTGTGTTATTTTCCGAACTAACAGAGCAATTAAAAATGTGTTCTCAACTAAGAAATCTTTATATCGTTATACAAGAGAGCAATTCTAATACAATGATGGCCATCAACATCATTGTATTAGAATTGTTCCATCGTTAAATCGCATAATCGTTAAACGGGAATTCTACTGTATTTTAAATGGTTGATTTTTTTCCTATTTCCAAAAAACTTTAACATTCCAAATGTATTCGTGGATTAAATTTCCTTAATATACACATTACATATACAATGATCGCGGTTTAGTCATGTGCGAGGAGGATATGGCATTAAGTTTACCAACAACCAATGCAGCTGTCTCTCAGGCGAAGAAACCCAATATGGGTACTTATCCAATTGGCAATGCATGTGGTTTAGATCAGAGTGGCTCGGCCCTTTAGTGTTGGTCGAAAAGCAGCGTTTATTAAATTTCTTTTCTATTGACTGCGACTGCTACCGAATGATCAAGGGAACCAGGTGAAAACATACAAGTTCCTTAAC